ATATATATATATATATATATATATATATATAGTGATGGGTTGTCAGACCACAGCTTACATCTCAGAAACAGTCCAGACTTGACCCGACATTAGGGGGGTCAAGTGTAAGGGTATCCCTCGCAGCCACTCAAGGAGCCACAAATCAACTAGCTCCCCTTCCCATGTCACACGGCCCCAACAAACATGTAAGATTGTAAGAAGGCACCTGCCGGCTCTCTCCCAATATACACAATAACCTACACCGCAGAAGAAGTCCAGACCTGACCTCACATTAGCCAGGTCAAATGTAACCCTCGAGCCCAAGTCAAGGGGCCACAAATCAACCAGGGCCTCTCATGTCACACGGCCCCATCTGAAGATTTCTCCAGAATATACAACTTATAGTCTCTGAAAAAGTCCAGACCTGACCCTACATTAGCGAGGGCAAATGTAAGAAGACCCTTCGCCGCCCCCCCCGATCAGCTCAACCTGACGGCTCGCCTCCCAATATATAGGACGTCCTAGTCCTCCCTCTCCCCAGAGAGAGACAGAGAGAGAGTGTGTCTTGTAACCAAGAAGGGCCAGCTACCACGTCCCCAGTCCTGCTCGAGAGAAGTCAGGGGCCGGAGGCAAGCCGCCTCCGGTCGCCTCCGGTCGGGAGCGAGTTGCCCTCGACACACCGGTGCCCAGCTAAGCAGTCTCCCATAGAGACAACCCAGGACCACCTGCTAGGCCTCCCCTAGGTCACGTGAGTTTTTGTCAGAGCTTTCCATGGGATGAGTTACTTACGTGGGAGGTGTATTCATTTCATGTTCATGTCCGAGAATCAGAGTGTCTAGTAACGTAATATGATGTCCTAGTAACGTAAATATAATGTCCTAGTAACTTCAATAGAAGGTGTTATTAATGTGTCCATGTCATGTTCGTAATTAATAAAGAGTTGTAAAGAAGCGGTGTTTGAGAAGTCGTCCTTAAGACGTAATAGATGTGTATTGACGTATAAGATACGATAAGTGTAAATCCATCATCAAATAACTATCACGGCCACGCTACCAAAATCTTCCTCTCTTTTATACTCTTATACTATCAATATTCTACCTATATGTAATCTTCTTCTTGTGAGATTTGTCTCATTACAATGGTGGCAGCGCACTTAACGTAAAACTCACGCCTCTTCCCTTTAGTGTTCAGTACAGTGATAGTTAGAATCTTTTGAAGTAATCTCGTAACTATCTTGACGAAGCAGACAGTACAAGGGTGGTTGCATTCATAACATTATATTGGTGGCAGCGTACTATAACGTTAACTCACGCCCTCCTCGTCCCTTGTTATTGGTAACAGTGTACTTAACGTAAACCCATGCCCTCCCTCATTTAGCCATAACACCTGGCTCGTTGTTTGAGTATTGTTCGAAAGTGCGTGATAAGGAGTTCCTGCATAGTAGCGTGAAAAGTGTCCTAGTGTGTCACCGTTACAGCTCAAGTAAATGTCTCTCGTCGTGGTATGCGCGAATTTTTTCTAGAAATATGTTCAGTGCTTAACGTGATTTCTCAGTGTCCCCCGCGATCTGTGACATTCTCAGTAGCCCAAGTGCAGTTTGATTGTTGGTCAGTGTTGAACGTAGAAATTGTTTCAGTTATGAAAGCGGTGTCTGTACTAACTGTTATAACTTAACATGTCTTTTAACCTACATCCTCCTCCCTGTCCTAATCCTCACCTCACCCTCCTTACCTTTCCTCCCATCCCTGCCCCGCCCTGCCCCGCCCCGCCGTTCCGTGCCCCGCCCCGCCAAGCCCCGGCCTGGCCCGATAAACCACGCCTCGCCCCACCCCACCCCGCCCCGCGCCGGCCTGGCCAGCCGCGTCCCGCCTTGCCTCCGTCCTTACCTCACCCGCCTTGCCTCCGTCCTTACCTCACCCGCCTCGCCGCGTAAGACCTCACTAATCCCCCGTCTTTTGTCCCGTAAGCTATATGTTGATGATGATGGTTAATATAAAGTAATATTGCGATGAATGCAGAGCTTCACTCAGTGGATTTTTATGCTGTTATGATTTGTGATGTACTCTTTGACGCGTAGTGATAAATGATATTAAGTGTAGTGTGCAGAGCTTAACTCCCCGACCCAGCCTGATGAGAAAATTGTCGTGACGGAAATAATAGTTACCAAACATTGACGTAACGTATAGAGTAAATTTTTATTTTTGCGAATGCACTTCCAACTAATCCATCATCCCTTTTGGATTGTTTCTCTGGCAAATATCACACACAGTACCGCCCCATGGCTAGCCGGAATCCAACCACAGCACATATAAGCAGAGAAGAATAAGCGTGATGAATGCAGCGTGATGAATGCAGCACCACACCCGCCACACACCACCCCACTTCTTTCAAGTCCTCCCTGGTCTAGGATTAAGAAGATTTTATATTTTTCTACTTTAGGAAGTTAAGGAGTGTGGAATGCAGCGCCACACAACGAACCCTGGTGAGCCCAGCCAGGGAGGGATTCACCACTGTGGAAGGTGTAAGACAGGACGGTCTTTGGTCTCGCCGACACTCACGTACGGGGGGCGAGCCCTGGTCCGCGGAACCTGCCTTACAGTCATCTAAGGAGGACGACAGCCCAAGCAGTGGACAGGCTTTCATCCCGGCCGGAGGGGGCCGACGGCAGATGAACAGAAAATCGTCTGGAATATGTTGAAAATGATGATGTTGCAGAGAAGAAATACAGATGGAACAGAAAAATTCATCTGGAATATGACGGAAAACGAAGATGTATAAAGAAACGCAGATGAACAGAAAAATCGTCTGGAATATGAAAATGAAGATGTATAAAGAAACGCAGATGAACAGAAAATTCATCTGGAATATGAAACTGCTCTAAACGTAGAGGAAGCGCAGGTGAACAGAAAAATCATCTGGAATATTATAGAAACCAGGAGGAAGTGTGAAGAAGTCAGAAGATGTGGTGACACGACCTACAAAGTGCGGTATTGAAGAAAGAAAAACGTGCTATGTGAAGACAGAAGACACGCTGTGCTGACATCAGAAGAAAGTCGACGATGAAAAGGTGGATCATCAGAAGGACCAATCGACTACCGCTGTTGTGCTGCCGGCATTCCCTATTTTCAGATACCAGCTGGATGGAGGACTTGAGCCATGCTGGACCCAACAAATGTACTGATGTTGTTGATGTACATTAAAAAGATATAACACCCTAACATGTGAAGTAGGAGCATTTTGTATTTTGTATTTAATTCTCTGATTTTTGTTATCATGTACTACAAAGAATGTTTTTTTTTTTTAAAGATTAGTCACTTTTTCTAAGAGTTCGTTTGATCAATGTTTTGTATTACCAAATGCAATGTTGGAGACATACTACTGAGTGGGACGAATTCTTATTTTGACACGGCCTGGTTAGGCAATGTAACACCTGTTTTTGTTTGTAGAATGTGATTTGCAAGTTTGCCTCGGACACTATGCTAGATATGAAGGATCTTTAGATCACTCTATGTTCACTTACTGTGTATGTATTTTATTTTTTTTCTCGTGTCATAGAAGCTTTAATCTTGGCGGGAGGTATAGTAAGCTTTGTCAGATCAAACTATGCCAGTAGAAAAACATACATCTCTAGGGTTATTATTTGTAAAATGTAAGGATGCATTATCGCCTCAGGGACTATATTAGATACTGCACATGATGTTACTGTCTACTTTAAATGTGTCATCAGTTCTCTGAGCATGAAAGCTTTGGTCTTGGCGGGAGGTGTAGTGATGGGTTTTCAGACCATAGCTTACATCTCAGAAACAGTCCAGACTTGACCCGACATTAGGGGGGTCAAATGTAAGGGTACCCCTCGCAACCACTCAAGGAGTTACAAATCAACTGGCTCCCCTCCCATGTCACACGGACCCAACAAACATGTAAGAAGGCACCGGCCGACTCTCTCCCAATATACACAATAACCTACACCGCAGAAGAAGTCCAGACCTGACCTCACATTAGCCAGGTCAAATGTAACCCTCGAGCCCAAGTCAAGGGGCCACAAATCAACCAGGGCCTCTCATGTCACACGGCCCCATCTGAAGATTTCTCCAGAATATACAACTTATAGTCTCTGAAAAAGTCCAGACCTGACCCTACATTAGCGAGGGCAAATGTAAGAAGACCCTTCGCCGCCCCCCCCGATCAGCTCAACTTGAGGGCTCGCCTCCCAATATATAGGACGTCCTAGTCCTCCCTCTGCCCAGAGAGAGACAGAGAGAGAGTGTGTCTTGTAACCAAGAAGGGCCAGCGACCAAAGCGCAGTCCTTCTCGAGAGAAGTCGGGGGCCGGAGGCAAGCCGCCTCCGGTCGCCTCCGGTCGGCAGCGAGTTGCCCTCGACACACCGGTGCCCAGCTAAGCAGTCTCCCATAGGGAAAACCCAGGACCACCTGCTAGGCCTCCCCTAGGTCACGTGAGTTTTTGTCAGAGCTTTCCATGGGATGAGTTACTTACGTGGGAGGTGTATTCATTTCATGTTCATGTCCGAGAATCAGAGTGTCTAGTAACGTAATATGATGTCCTAGTAACGTAAATATATATAATCTTCTTCTTGTGAGATTTGTCTCATTACATATATATATATATATATATATATATATATATATATATATATATATATATATATATATATATATATATATATATATATATATATATATTCACTTTATCTTACAAATTTTGACATTTTGTGACTGTACTTAATTGAACTGATTTTCTTATTTACAATAGGTATCGTAAAGTACTACATGAGGCAGGTAGTCGAGCCACCAAGTGACGTCATGTACATGGGTGAACTCGTTTTCTTCTTTCGGTGAGAAGTCCTTGCGATCTCTATCATATACTGTTTCGTTGTCTTTCTTTGTCACCATTTTTAGATTGTCCTTTAGTCCCGCACCACCTCTGTCACTCATTTTAACCAGCTCTTACCCATTCTCGCTCTCACTCATTCTCATTTTTTCTTAATCAGTTAATTTACTCACCTCAGTTTTGTTGAAGGTCTCCGACAGACTTAAAAGGGCAAAGACAGTAGGTAGTTTGGCGATGGAGGCCCCATGGTGCTGGGTACGACAAGTGGGGCAATGTACGGGACCTTCGGTTTCCACACTAGAGAGGCACTGCTTGCAAAAGGTGTGGCCGCAGAGGGGTAGGGCCACGGGTTCTCTGAGTCCTGAAGAATACATGTCTGAGCACACAGCGCACGTCAGCTCCTCCTCCATGATGCCTGTTGTAAATATATTAAGTTCACAATGATAGGTATCGTGCATGAAGATCACGACTTTATTTGCTAACTCACTCCCTGAGTTCTTTCGTTTCTTTTTATTTATTTATGTGAACTTCTACGAAACTTATATTTTTGCAAGATGGATTTAAGGGTATTTTTAATTATTAATATTTTCTGGTAATAAATTTGGACGGCTGTGTCTAAGATATATTTATCTGGACAACTGCAAAATAAATCAGGGTACAGTATTTTCGTGGGCTCAGAAAAAAAAAGTTTATGTTAACTGTTATAATTGATTAACCCGGTCGTGGTCTCTGAAACACAGAAGTAAAAACATAAAACTGTAAAAGGTTGAAGGAATTGATCTCTACTATATATATATATATATATATATATATATATATATATATATATATATATATATATATATATATATATATATATATATATATATATATATATATATATATATATATATATATATATATATTTATTTATTTATTTATTTAATTAGCCCATAAAGCACGCGGACTTCTACATATAATCAACAACCTCATCTCTGCTTCACACACAAGGTTTGCCCATCGAGCTTATTGTGCTATACATGACCAGGCCTTGTGTGAAATATAAAAAAGTCTAGGATTGCTTTAGTGTCCTAGTGGTGTAAGAGGTAACGTTCCCCGGTCACACACATAAGATTGTGGGTTCGAGTCCTGGCGGGGTGAGGTTGGTTGTTGATTTTATATATATATATATATATATATATATATATATATATATATATATATATATATATATATATATATATATATATATATATATATATATATATATATATATATATATGCAAGTAAATCACTGTAGGTGCGCGTGATCCAAGTATATGCTGAAAACCACAAGAAAAAACGAAGTTCCCAAGCGCTTTCGTGTAATTCATATTTTCATCAATGTTTTTACGTGCTCTAAGGATAAAGAGTCCGGAATTCATTGATGAGGAATATAAATATATCTATAATATTGGCTTGAACCTTAAGTACCCTAGGTCTTTTATAGACAAATGCCTTAACATTACTAAGAAGCAAGTTTGTGGATGACACCAAAATAGGGCGGCAGATTAATTCAGGGCAGGATGCAAACACACTACAGGAGGATTTAAATAAACTGCAGGAGTGGTCAGAAAAATGGCAAATGAAATTCAACACCAGCAAGTGCAGCGTACTGAATATTGGAAGAACAAATACTGTCACTGTATACAGCCTTAACAACATCAACCTTGAGAAGTCGACTTGTGAAAGAGACTTAGGGGTACTTGTAAGCCCGGACCTACGGCCTAGAAAACAGTACGTTAATGTTCGAAATAAGGCAAACAGAGTATTAGGTTTTATATCTAGAAGTGTAAGTAATAAGAGTGCAGAGGTCTTATTGCAACTATATCTTGCGCTAGTCAGGCCGCACCTCGATTATGCGGGTCAGTTCTGGTGCCCTTATTATAGAATGGATATCAATTCACTGGAGTCGGTGCAGCGAAGAATGACGAAAATGATTCCCGGACTTAGAAACCTTGCATATCAAGATAGGTTAAAGAAACTAAACTTGCATTCCCTAGAAAGACGAAGAGTGCGGGGAGATATGATAGAAGTATTTAAGTGGGTGAAAGGAATCAATAAAGGCGATATAGATAAAGTTCTTATAATATCCGAGCAGGATAGGACTCGTAGCAACGCATTTAAGTTGGATAAGTTTAGGTTTAGGAGGGAGATAGGAAGGAACTGGTTCACAGATAGGGTGGTGGACGAGTGGAACAAGCTTAGCAACTTTGTAGTAAGTGCTGGAACGCTGGAAAGTTTTAAATGGAGGCTAGATAGATTCATGGATGATAGAGAGTGGTAGTAACTCTCCACAGGAGCTGCCATGCACAGACCAACCGGCCTATTGCAGACTCATTATTTTCTTATGTTCTTAAGAAATCTTTTTATAGAACTGATCCTAAGCCCTCCCATGACAATAAGAATTTCTTAGTATTACCATTTAACAAAAATTTCTCTCAAATTCTAATACAACTAAAAACCTGGAGCGTTAATGTGGCATTTAAAAACTCATGCACTGTAAAATAAATGTTAATTAAGAACTCCCCCAACAATGCAGGTGGCTGCATTTACAAGGTTCCTTGCAAGGAATGTAATATGTTCTACTTAGGACAGACGGTTAAAGATCTTAAAACTAGACTTAAACAACATAAATATAGTGTTAGGGCAGGCCAGGAATCCAATGCTCTGGTCATTCATATGAGAGATAATAAGCATTGCATTGACTGGGATAATGCCTCCTCAATATTATCTTGTAATTCAATTGTCAGTAGGAACAATATAGAATCCAGTCTCATTAAACATACCGATTCTGTCAACATGAATTTGAGTAATGGTATGTACAAACTGGATAATTTTGTGATTAAGAAGATTTGTAACCAGGTGAGAAGGTTGGGTCATCTTACCCTATGGCTTGACTACGGACAGCTGCTGTGCTTATAGATAGCATGTTCAATTTCTTTGGATTCAGAAGATTAGTAAGGGTCACTGCCTTATGACCAGAACATTGTGGACCCCTGCTGTCCCCTTGGGACTTGATCTCACTCTCCTCTACTGTATATATTAGCCTTCTAAAGTATTTCTCCTTAGTCTGTACTCACCCCTGAAGATATGAATTACACGAAAGCGCTTGGGACCTTCATGTTTTCTTGTTTCCTTGTGGTTATCAGCATATATATATATATATATATATATATATATATATATATATATATATATATATATATATATATATATATATATATATATATATATATATATATGCAAGTAAATCACTGTAGGTGCGCGTGATCTAGGTATATGCTGACTACCGACCGTTGCCGTGCTATTTAAAGATTAGTAGGGTCATTACCTAATACCTGACCATTGTGGACCTGTTCTCACCCTCCTCTGTATATATACACCTTGGTTTGTACTCCTCTTTAGTCTGTACTCACCCCTGAAGATGTGAGTTACACGAAAGCGCTTGGGACCTTCATGTTTTCTTTGGTTATCAGCATATATATATATATATATATATATATATATATATATATATATATATATATATATATATATATATATATATATATATATATATATAATCAACGACCTCACCAGCAAGGAATCGAACCCTCGACCTACAGGTTTTTCAATTGTAGAAATATTACTATTTAACAAAAAATTTCTCAAATTACTTACAGCTGAAAACCCGAAACATAAATGTAACGTCTAGTAATTCTTGCACTGCAAAAAAAAACGTTAAAAACTCCCCCAGCAATGCAGGTGGCTGCATTTACAAGGTTCCTTGCAATTTACATTTGGTTCTTATATTAATTATTCATTCTACAATAGACAGAACTTTATACTCATTTATTCATAAGAGTTCCTACTCATGATGTCTGATAAGGAATAGTAGTATTCAAATAAATGGCTTTATGGAGTGGATGTTATTGTTCAGTGCAACGTAAATACACGGTCGTCCTGACCCTTGTGTGCGCATCTTATCTCGTATACGCACTTACCTGTAACTTCCATATTTATACCAAACACTGTTGTTTCATTAGCAAGTAATACCCAAAAATCAAGATTACAGTAAAAATGTAAAGTATACAATGGTAAATAAACCAGCAACAACTCCATGTATCGGGAAACGGATGTGAGAAAATGTCACTGCCGAAAATTATTTCATGTCTTGTCTACAGTCCTACAACAGGAGATCAAATCGAACATTACCGAAACCTAAAGATTAAAGAATACCGAAGATAATTTATGTTTACTGTTAAAATATTTAGAATGCATGGAGCAGGAGGCTGTGGTGGTGTTGGCAGCTGGCAATTATCACGTTTTATCAGTGACGGAGGCGGGAGTCTCTCTAGTGAACTGCTAGACTCGTTATCTCTACCAAGAATGCTCGGCCAACACAAACACCATAGATATTCAACTCCGGTAAGTACAGACTGTATACAGTTTACGCTGTAGCCTCAGTGTTTAGTATTCTGGATCACCTGAAGATTTGTTTCCTACTTCATTTACCTGATGATTAACACCCAAATGCTGCTTCTGGAGTTACGTTAGGGTAGGGTAGGGTAGGTTACGTTAGGTTAGGTTACATTAGGGTTATTAAGGTAAAATAGGCCGTGAGTGAATCTAAAAGTGCAGGTTCAGTATTGTTAAGTAAGGCTTGATGGTCGAAATTCTTTGGGCTAAAGTGTATCTCATTTCATACCAGTGATTTTAGGTCGATTTTTTTTTTGTTTAGCTGGAACCCATCTCATTTTTAACACGGAATCCTACGGGAAAATGGGTTCTATTTACCTCAGAAACACCTTTCCAAGATCACCTGTAGCAAGCTAAGCGGGACTTACAAGAGTATTAATGTTGTTACTATTAATCTTCTCCATAATGAAAATTTTAATAACTGTTTTTAGTGTTTTGGTTATAATAATGCTCTTGGTAGGAAAAATAATACGGACAATGGTCCTCAGTCGATGTCGAATTTTAACCACCATTTAATAACATTCCGCTGATTTAATTAAATGATTTCACTTTTGTATGGAAGACTGTGATAACGGATTCTTGTGTGTAATTTCTTGGCGTGTTGTTCAATTAATATTCGAGTTATAGCCATTTAGACGGCGGAACATTAGCGGTATATCTCGTTTTGAAGATACAGTAGTACGACTTACACCTACTTGATAAAGCTCCTGGATCAGCTGAACACATATTTAATTTTACATCCAGATTTCTGGAATTGCCTTCGTTTATTTTTCCTCACAACTAGAGGTAAAGCTTAAGATCAGTTTCGACGCCATATTTGGTGACCATCTCTGGTGAATAAGTTAGAAACGCTTTCCTGTAAATTTTCACAATTAATGTGAGAAACGTTACACTTGAACTATTAACCTTAGATTGTAAATCCAAGTAAGTCTAAACTGTAAACATCACATGATTCAAGACCTACCTGTAGGAGAGAGAGCGAGTTTGCTGAAGTGTGCGTCGTGTTCTTCTTCCGCTGAGTTTCCTAGCAAAGATATTTATCGACAATGTTAAAGTAGTTGTAGATATTGTCCTTTTTAGCTTCAGGTTGAGGGAAGTCTACAGGTAGTGTTAGCAGTGTCTGAAGGTCGCGTCTTCCTTCTTCATGGTAGCCTGAAGAAGGAAGTCTCTCCAAGGTGCTGAAGCTACAAGAAGTCACTATTGACAAAGGGGAAATACTAGTGTCTTTAAATTTTGTGCATGAAAACGTCACCACGAGCACAGTCAACAGTGCCAGGTGTGTACTTTTGTTCGACCCACAGTGATAAGTTTCTGCAAGCTACGCCAAACCAATGTTCGCCCAACCTTCACTAACACTCTTATAATATAAGGACGCGTTAGTTTCCAGCCAGCAGGGATACGCCTGTATAGAAAGTAAGTCCAGAAGGCCGTCTGTCTACTTTCTACCAGCAATAACCCACTCCAATGACAAAAGTGCAAGTCCTTGGTGTACTTTCTTCCACATCTGGAAATTTTGGTTGGGTGTCTGATATTTAGCGAGGCTTTTGAAGTTCTTTCTGTTACAAAAACCACTTACCGATCATAGCCTTCTTGTAAGAGAAGTCTGTGCAGGTGTGGCAAGTTGTAGGACTGTGGTAGCGGTGTGGTAGTATCAGGAGTTGATATCTCTGGGTTCAGCAGAACAGGAACACAATTCTTAATCACCACCAAGACCATAGTAATTTGAAGTCTTGTTTTATGAGGTTTCAGCCACTTTTGAAACACTTTAGGGGTGTGTTGCAGGCTGTGTGTGGTAGTGAGTGTGGTAGAAGCAGAGCCCTGAGGATGTACTGAGGACACACAGGATGTACCAAACCAGAACTGGGGTAATCCGACATAGAAGCCGTGACGTCAGGCACCTATAACGAAATCCTTAGAAAATTTAAGAACATTAATATAATTAAGACTCATATCTTCGTACTTGAAATTTTCAACAGCTTCACTTTTTTAAAGTTAAAAAAAAAAGTTAGAAAAAACTACTGGAGAATGTAGATATGGTACTAAGTAAGTCGTGATTAACTCGTGTGTAAAATACCAGCTGGTCCCACGTCACGAGTTTGTTTACATTTATTCGAATGGTGAAAGTACATCCTGAAAAAATGATCTTTTAGGGCAGTTTTAGTTCATATTTTGTGACTTTAACTGCTTGACTATCTACTGTAGATCTTCGTAATTATTATTATTAATATTTTTAAATATGTATGATTATTATAATCTCTCATGTTCTTTTGTATTACTCCCAGGAAGTGGGAGGGGAGCGTAGACATTTACATTTATTAACGCTCTTCAACAACTATCGTCAAGCGCATATTACTTAGGTTTGTTTAAGTTAAGTTATATTGTTTCGTGTCATCTGTAAAAAGTAACTGATTTGGCTCTACTGTTCGTGGTAATACACGTGGGGTATTTCCATAATTTTATAACTTGTACAGGAGATAATAGTTTTCACGTACAACAAGGTGTCTGTCGTAGATCGTTACGCTTGTGGTAAGTGAAACAAAAAGGCTTTTAGTGAACACAGTAGAGCTGGATAATAATACTAATACTAAAAACATTAAATTAATAGGAGCAACAACAACAATAATAATAATATCAATAATAACAATACATATTTTGTAATAAACGAAGGATGATAGTAATGATGACAAATGTACTTACAATGATGAAATTAAAAACGTAAATTACATTACTGGTAACAAGACTAAATATACTAATCTTATACTTTTTAAACAGTAAATACAAACACTAAAGGAGACCATTTTGGCTGTGTTTGTGACATGAATAAACAATGGGCGTTGAACTTAATCTCTGACCTATCATTATCAGACGCTACATGCAGGCACCACGCACCCTACTGACAACAATCACCTTATTGACACCAATCACCCTCCTGAAAACAATCGCCTTGCTGACACCAATCACTCTACTGATAATCACCTCACTGACAACATCCACCCGACTGACAACAATCACATTACACCAAGCACCCTACTGATAACAATCACCTTACTGACACCAATCACTCTACTGTTAACAATCACCTTACCGACACCAAGCACCATATTGACAACAATCACCTTTCACCAAGCACCCTACTAACAACAATCACCGTGCTGACACCAAGCACCCTACTGACAACAATCACTTTACTGACACCAGGCACCCTACTGACAACAATCACCTTACACCAAGCACCCTACTGAAAACAATCACCTTACTGACACCAAACCCCCTACTGACACCAACACTCTTACTGATAACAAGCACCTTACTGACACCGGACTACTACTGACTCAACCAACGTACTGACAATAAACACCCTGCTGACACCAAACACAATACTGACACCAAACATCCTACTGACACCAAACATCCTACTGACACCAAACATCCTACTGACACCAAACATCCTACTGACACCAAACATCCTACTGACACCAAACATCCTACTGACACCAACAATTTTACTGACACCTGACACTATCCTCCCAAGTCCTAGATGGTGTGAATAACAGTGATAATGGCACCTAGTTCAGGATCGATACAAACCTTCAGTCACTTCGCTTGGTGACTGAGAATGATGTTCACGTCACTGATGGTGACTTGATTGACGGGATGGTGATATGTGGTCTCCTTCACCACCTGGAGATCGACTACACCCCCACCCCTCGAAAGGATAAAGGAACCTTTTGGCAGGATGATCCTTTGTATAGTTGTTGTGTTCAGTCTTCTCGCCGCTGGCTGACACCACCAGCTCCACCTTCTTCAATACATGCTCTTGATACCTTAAACTCAGATTGTCACCGGCTTGTCCCTGAAGCCAGACACAAACATATATGACTTGTTGACATGATTATCAGGATCAAACTGCTGTGGATCCCCTCTCACATAGGCCTCAGTCAACGTGATTAGAGTTGATGCCTTAGCTAAGCTCGCGTCCCCCTATGATATTGTTGAATACAATCAAGAAGTGTCAAACAGAACCGAAAAACTGTAATCAGGAAAAAACTTTTTGATGAATTTGAAGCAATTAGACAAGTGTAAACAGGTACTAGTCAATCCATTGTTTACCATGATGAGATGTATCAAGTAAAACATGTATTTGGAGCAAGTAACAAGATCACTAGATTAAAAAAAGTTGTAACCGCGAGACTAAGATTAGGATATAAGTGCCTCTGGCAGTATGCCCCCCAAGTAGATGTCAACAAAACTAAATATAAAGTGTGATATCGGCTTTCAACTCCCCAAAGTCATGCTTAGGTAACTCATTGTAAAGGGCCTGGGACTTAGGGATAGAAATCCCTAACCAGACTAATCAGGTTCTTAATTAAGGAAAGTCAAGGACTATGGTTTTCTGAGGAATAACAAACAACCGTTTGTGATTGACATCTCTTTACTATAAAAAAATATAACACAAAACTCTGACACCACTCAACAAACATCAAGTAACAATTACGGTAGTCAAACAATTAAGGCAGTCAACAGTTAATGGAGTCAAACAATTAATGGAAGCAAACAATTAAAAGGGAGCAAACAATAAAAGGGAGCAAACAATTAATGGGAGTCAACAACTGATAGAATCAAACAATGAACAGATATTTCCTACGGCAGTGGCCCTGGGGGAAGGTTCTGGAACACGGTGATCCACACTAGGGGTAGGGAAGCATCCATTCAACTCCACACTCGAGCGACGTCTTGAAACGGCAGGAGAACACCGGGGCACAGACGGAATGAGATGAACTGACGGTCGTGGTACGCGGTAGTGGTAGATGACCAGAGAATTGACAGTCGATAGGTGAAGGTCTGGGAACACAGCCCACGAGTCCTGGACCTATGATGAGATCACAGCCAGAATTTGACGGACAGTGGGGTAGCTAGATAGTGACTGTATGGCGGCTGGGTTGAATCTGCCGGTGACGCAGATAGTCGCTGCCATTCTCACCTCTGTCCAACCGCCCCAAGTGTCGTCAGCACCAACAAACGAGCGAGTTAGCAGCGGTAACCAGCAGGAAGATCGTTTCCGTCCTTACACTCATCCACCTCCACTTCATCACATGTCACAGTTTTGCACACCACCTTATCAGGTCTAATACAATGGGGGTTTCAACAGATTCACATGTACTAGTCTTTTAATCTTCATACGTTCAGGCGTAGTTATGATATAGTTAACATCTCGTACTTTACTCAAAACTTCAAAGGGACCCTGATACTTCGCTTGTGGGGGAAACTAAGGAAATTTGTATGTACCTACTTAAACTTACAATGTATCTGGATATACTCTGTAACATTCAATGTCATAATATCTTGATCAGCGGGTCTGATAAAACACTCTTTGTGGTCTCTATTTTGTAATCTTTTTTGCATTACCCGTCACAGGATGAGTATAGGATGCACAATAAACTAGCTGCTGTCCGCGGCAACATTAAAAAAACACAAATCAAATACTTCCCACCCTACTCTAGCACCTCTCTGAACTCTGGATAACCTCAAGACCCACACAATGACTCAATGGAAGCACCAACCCCAGGGGCCGGTTTATGTTATACGTGGCCTTTTTGTAGTTGGGATCCGAAGGAAATCAAGCAGAGCGCCAGGATATGTCGTGGTCGGCGGAAGTAGACACGACCTACTCTTTGTTCTCTAACGGTTAGGTCCATAAAAACACTTCCACACACACACACACACAGTAATAACAGGATGTACTGTACTCTAATGAGATAAGAAGACAGGATGTTCAGCATGACGTCACTGTAATTTTGTCTATGATTAGTCATCCCAATGCGCGCTTCCTTTGGCCTGACGGATATTTTTCGCTCATGTGGTGAGTTTCTTTAAGGCGGACTTAAAGCTGCTAATCACCAAATCTTATCTTTGATTAAAAAAAAGGGAGCAATGAAATAGCCAATGTTAGAAAAATACCTTTTTCTAAATTTAACCTAAGTCTTTAAGTGTGTGATCGAGGCTCGGGCAGGTTAGGGTACGTTTGGCCACCTTTTTCAAATGTACAATTAACATAAAATAAATTTAATATAAATCATTCAAATACATTGAGTACAATCAATCGAATTTTTGTTCATGTCTCCGATATTTACTGTAGATTTCCTCAGCTATTAATGTGACACTTGCTTTCCTCTTGTTATAGACATCTTGCCTGCATCAAGCACTTTGCCATTCAGGATTTTTTTTTTTTTTTTTTATTGGGCACCCCCCTACATCCTTGTGTAAGGTGAAGCGCTGAAGCGTTTACAGCGCCCAACAGGGAAGCATGCTAAGTTCATGCTTGCCTTTATGTCTCATGAGTTAAGGGCGCAGAGGCCTGAAGAGTCAATGGTTTTTTTATGTCATCAAGTTATTGGAAGCTCCAACAACTTGTCCCTGAATACGAATTCGCAACTTTCGATTTACACCAGGTACCTACTTTACTGTTAGGTGAACAGGGACTAATGGGGGCTAGAAAGTATGTCCAAACAACTTCCACCTGCCCGGGAACGAACCCGTGACATCTCGCCTACGAAGGCAAGAGCGGTACCACTCTACCACCAGCACCCCCTCATTCAGGAATTGTAGCCAACAATTGTTCATTTTGGCTGGTCACTTGTTTCAGTCTCATTATCTTTAACTATTTTGTTTTTCACTATTTTATTATTTTGTCTTGATTTATATAGACATATCTTAATAATTTTATGACGTCTCCCTCACATCTCTCTCAGCTAAAGTCTTAATTTTTTTTTAAGTATTTTTTCTTTACTGTATTATAAGTTACGAATGATAATATTTTAT